TTTAAGAAAAATTAACCCTTTAAATACGAAAGTTTCTCCTTATATACACAATATAAAAGAGTATTAAATATATAATTATAATATTATAATATATAATATAAATAAATAATAATTCATAATATGGAAAAGGATAAAAAAAGGAAACCCTGGAAAGGTACTACATTTATAAAACATCGAAAAATGATATAAATAGACTATAAACACAAGTTTCAAAAAATTTTCTTCATAACCAATATAAATTAGTACAACTTTGCGGATATTAATTATTTAGATGACATGCTTTCTAGCACAAAACGATAACCACACAAAGTAAAGTAATAAAGTGATATTAAATTTTATCCCGCAAAAAAGAAAAAAAATTGTGGGTCTTAACTTCCTTCTTTTCTAAACTTCATATTTTTATTCCAACCTCTTTGATTAGAGAGTTTTCGTTCCTTATCGTTATAGTTTATCACCCTTAAAATAAATTTAAAAAATAAACTATAAGAACTTTTCAATAAATATATATGTCCAACATGGAGGTAATACCCTCCACGTCTCGTTTACTATTGTTGTTAATATCTTCATTATTTGCTTTGCTATTAGCCAGAGGTATGAAATTTTAGTTTCTACCTTTTTTTTTTTTAGTTTCTTATGTTAATATCTTTATCATTGAATTTAGCGGATAGTATGGCTTCAAAGCCTTTGAGTTATTTGGAGTTCGTTGGTAGTCCTAGCATAGATATACTTCCTAGGAATATACCTGTACATTCTGAAGCTACATCAATAGTACGTAGATATATCGAGGAGGATAGTCCATTGAGATACGATGATTCCATGAGAATTCAATTTATTGCGTTCAATCGTACTTTCAACATTCATCTCGAGCCTAATTTAGATTTATTTCATCCGGAAGCAACGATCACTATACATCATTCTAATAATACTAAAACAATTACGAGACTAAGGCATGAAGACCACAGACTATATAAGGGAGTCGTGCTGGACATAGACTCAACTGACATTAGATTAAATGAGGACATAGTT